TCTAGGAAATAAAATTTCTAAAAAAAAGTTTTCAGAAAAAATACTTTCCTATGATTGTTTACATCATTAAAACTAATATGCTAATAGCAGTGGCGGGGCAGTGGCAGTGGCAGTGGCAGTGGCAGTGGCAGTCGCTCTATGACAGTGGACAACTCCAACATATAAGAGTTTTAATGATTTTATCACTGAAAGTGAATTTTTTGTAAGAAAAAATATTAAGATTACTAATTTCAGCCGTCACTAAAAGTCCGACCCACAAAGTCCAAAAAAATTTATCCTTAGCAATAAAATTTTGAAAATGTCAGTGGTAAATGATAGAACAATTTCATGCCAAAAAAATTACCTTTTGAGACAAAAATTTTGATACCAAAAAGATAATAATTCATTTATAAATGTACAATTTTATCGCTAAAAACACAACAATTACAGTTTCATCAACTAAAATATTTCTTAATTTGTTGTAATTTGGTGGCGGGGAGACAATGATGGTGGTAGAGATGAGGGTAATATGGTGTCATTGGTTAGAATTTATGTTGGAAAACATTTTCGCTCAAAGAGATTTGTTTTTCGTTTGACAATAAAAACCCCTTTCAATGTTTTTCCATCAAACAAACAAGAAGATGAAGAACAAGTTGCCAAACGAACAAACAATACACAAATGAGCAGAATATCTCACAATAAATAAAAAGAATAATTCCCAATAGCAATCGAGCTAAGTTAGCAATCTTAACCGCTTCTTCACACTCCAATAATCCCATTCAGCGGCGGTGACATGGCTGAGGCGAACACACACAGAGAGAGAGAGAGAGAGAGAGAGAGAGAGAGCTCTGAAAGAAGGTAAGACTCAATTTGAGTTCGGATCTTCGGCCGCACATTCCTGCGGCCCTTCCAGCAGCACTACAAAACGACGTCGTTTTGTATTTTTTTTTTTTTTTTTCTTCCTTTGTTTCTGATTAAGCTTTCCCCTTTCCTTTTTTGAACCCTAGACACAGAGGCGACAAATCTGGACGAAGGAGGAAAAGAGGAGGCGAACCAGAGAGGGAGGAGAAGGAACTTAAGGAAGAGATCAAAAACTTGCCTGCTATGTTAATCTGATGAATCCCCAGATTTCCTGTACAACTTCTGAGAAAGAAAGCAAAAGCGAACCAAACATCTGCTTGACTTTGTCCTGTGATTTCTTGGAAATCCTATATCATTTCCTTCCTATATTCATCAATACCCATGTAGAGATTGAGGGATATATATAAAGAGAGGGGAAAAAAATGAGTGTTTCTCTAACTGTAATGACTTTCAATCTTCTTGAAGATCAGGCAGAGGACAGTCCAAATTCATGGGAAAAAAGGAGGGATTTGTGTATAAGCGTTATAACCAGGGATTTGAGCAATGTTAATGTTAACATGTCAATGTGAATATTCACAATGTCACGGGTCGGGCTGTAGTCGGGTTTCGGGCCGCCCACGGGCTGCGGGCCAATTTTACACTCTTATCAATGTGAATATTCACATTGTCAACGGGCCTGGTCGAGCCCGCCCTGGGCCGCTGGCCAATTTTATACTCTTATCAATATGAATGTTAACATGTCAATGTGAATATTTATATTGTCAACAGGCCGGGCCGGGCCTGCCTCGGGTCTCCATGGGCCGTGGGCGGATTTCGAGCAACCACGAGGCGCGGGCTAATTTTACACTCCTATCAATGTGAATGTTAACATGTCAATGTGAATATTCACATTGTCAACGGGCCGAGCCCGCCCCAGGCCGCGGACGGGCTTTTGGCCGCCCATGGGCCGCGGGCCAATTTTGTACTCTTATCAATGTGAATGTTAACATGTCAATGTGAATATTCACATTATCAACGGACCGAACCAGGCCCGCCCCGGGCCGCTCATGGGCCACAGGCGGGTTTCGCTCCGCCACGGGACGCGGGCCAATTTTACACTCCTATTAATGTGAATATTCACATTATCAACGGGTCGGGCCCACTCCGGCCCGACTCAAATTTTTCTGGGCACTCACGAGGATCGACATGGGCCGGGCCCCTACATATTGACGATATGAACATTCACATTGACGGTGTGAATATTCACATTATGGGTAATTTGGTAATTATGTCACCCATAGGACTTATTAAAACATAAGAAAATAATGTGAACTAAATGAAACATAAGTAGATGAAAATGGTATTTTGGTCTTCTTATCTCAAATAGAACCTAATGGAATAGTTAAAAAGAATATGAGTTGGGTAGAATAAAACTCTTAAAAAGTGGATTTATCAAAAAAACTCCCTATAAAGTAAGTGTGACTTACACCCTTCATATTTATGTATATAAAAGCAAAAATTCTCCCAGGATGTAATTCCTCTTATTAACAATAATAATAATGTTTAAATTAATAAAACCAAATTAGTCCTTATTTTAAGACTAAAGCCTCGTTTAGAAACAGGCTAATTTAGTAATTTTTTTAACTATTTGGCTAAAATATGAATTAAAAAAACTAGTATGTTTGAAATGACTTTTTGACTTTTTACGAAAAAATGTGCAAAAAGTAGAGAGAAAAAAAAATCTTTAACTTTTTGGTATGAGTTGTTGACTTTTTGACTAATTTAATAACTTTTTTACTTTTTGACTAAAAATAAGGATTCCCAAACGAGGCCTAAATAACTTTTTGAGAAAATTACAATTCAATAAACATTCCTAATTTCTAAAAAAATTATAAATTTATAAAAAAAATTATACTTTAATTAAAATTGATAAACTTCTGAATTTTTTTTTTCAATTATACTTATTTCTCCTAACTTTTTTCCATTGAATTAGGGAGGACAAGGGAATCTTTAGTAGATGGATAAGCATGTGAGCTTTCCGATGCATGACTATACACATTCATTAAAAAATGTGAAGTCTTGGCTTCTTCTTAAACAAAATAATTAAAGTGCTACAAAGATAAATTATAAATATCTTTTTTTCAAATTGCTCATAATTACCTATTATATGTCACATTAGAGATATTTAGAACTGTAAATAAACTGAGTTCTAAATTGTTTCAAATTAACTTAATGGGTCTGGATCCTTGGTTGCCCTTATCTGCCGTCCTTTCCTGTAGAGCCTCAAAACGATGTCGTTTTGGAACAACTTTTCAAGAAAATAAAAAAAAATAAAATAAAATAATAGAACTCAGAAAGGAGGTGGGGTGGGTTTGAGACGGCACCATCAACTCCCCGCCATCGCCACCACTACCCACCTTCCCTTACTCTTCGCCATCGCCGCCTCTACCCACCTTCCCTTCCTCTTCTCCATTCCTGTTTCTTCTTGTTCCTCCGACGAAGTCCGGTCACTTCTCGGGTTCAAAACCAATCGTTCACAAACCTCAACTTTAGAGCAACGGGTTCGTTCCTTCAGTGGGTTCGATGACTACTTTAGTTTTACAAGTGGGTTTTCCATTGGAATCAAGAATCTTCAACAACTGAAGGTGTTTGATGATTTGATTGATCATCTCTCTCTCTCTCTTTCTCTGCTCTTCTTTGTTTTTTTTTTTTTTAGTTATTGTTGTTGATGATGATGAAATTATTTTGTGTTCTTGGGTTTGATTTTAGTTCTTGGGTTTGAAATTTTGGATAGATAAAAAACAAGATGAACCAAAAAAAAAAAGAAACCCAAGAACACAGGATGTTTAAAGCAAAAAGAGAGCACATGATGAAATTTTGGATGGGTTTGAAATTTGATCAATTTCATCAAGATGTTTGATGCTTTGACAAATTAACTCTGTTCTTAGCTTTCTTTCTCTCCCTCTCCATTTTTTTCTTTCTTTTTTTTCTAGTCTTCATCTCTCTGTTTCCTCTTGATTCTATGTTTATGGTTTCACGGTGGTGTGGGTTACCCACGGTTGCTTTCTTTCTTCTTCTCCCTTTCTGAATTTTGTTTTGTTTGTTTGTTTTTTTTTTTTTTTTTTTTTTTTTCCCCTAAAAAGTTGTCCCAAAACGACGTCTTTTTGGGATCTTTTTGGGACGCTACATGCAAGGGCTGCAAATAAAGGCGACTGAAGATCCGGACTCTAACTTGATAAGAGTTTCAAAATATATTTAAACTAAAATTGTTAAACAAATTTTTAACAAATTAAACAAGAACATCACTAGAGATATAAATATAATTAAATTGTTCTTCCGATCCTATCAAAATTTGTGAGCTTGTCATAACAAAGTTAATGGAAAAAATAAAATTAGTTTATTTTCTTCCAACACTAAAAATAAAATTAGCTTATTAGCCTCTCTTCTTCTTCCTCAACTTCTCTCCTCTCATGTTTTTCTTTGCTCAATTTGTAATTTTTGAATAACTACATGTACTCAATATTTACTCTGTGAAATGGGTCACATGTGGCCTTACCATGAGGAGATTCCCCGTCCAAAAAAATTTTTTTTGGCTACAATCTGGATTTATATTTCTTCTGTTATTTCTCATCACAAATAACACAACCTAACCAAATTGCCTACAGACAACAATAAATAAATTTATAAAAAAAATAAGTGCCACACAAACAGAGAAATTGTACAAAATCCATCAACTGATGATTAGCCAAATTCAAGTCTCATAATTTTGGCAATATATGCCTATCAGAGTGACATAAAATTTCAAAAATGTCTCGACCAACCATATCATTCTGCATAAAAATAAAGCCAGAAGTTCTGAAGATTCAATTTTTCTAAGCAGAAACAAAGCTGTAAAATATAAATACCTGAGGGCACAGTGAAGAAAACACCATGTGAAGTAAGCTAATCTCACCCCCATCAAGAGCTCCCTCAATCCCACACAAACCAAAAATGCACCATATGGGTCTCAATATATGCATGATCTGAATGTATACTACACCAAACATCACATTCTTTTCCATTCTTTAACAGGTAGGCCATGGTCGTCTCTGTCTAGGCTTGTCAACCGACCCAATTAATCTGAATCCAACCTGAAAATTCTTAATTTATTAATGAATATCCGATCCAATAATCCAATAAAATCCAATCCAAAAAATATGAATCTATAAATGAATATCTGATTGATAACCAGATAAAATACAAATATGATTGATCCAATTATTGTCGGATTGCATTCACATATACCATTCATTACTCACTTCTCTGACAACAGACTTCATCTTTGTGTCCTATTGGCCAAAATATTACAGTAACATTTAGCAGGATGAAGATAACAAAAAAGCAACAAAACCAGGCCGAAAATACTTGCCCATGTTCATGTATTTATACATTTTTTTTCCCCATACAATAGCCCCTTCTATATACAGAGATTGAAGCTTTTGGATATTCAACATAAATGGCCAAAAAATACCAGACCACTGGTTGGTTCGAGAACCTCCAGTAATGTCTCTGGAACCTTCAAAATATTCATTCCCCCCTTCTTTGGGGTACGTAAAGCAAGGACCGTAGCAACAAAAGAAAAAGTCATCAGTAGTCACATTTGGAGCAGATTATTCACGGTAACAGTAACAGAATTTGTACGCTGCAAATCCTGCAAAATATTAATGCATTTTAGTCTCCAGGTAAACTAATTGCGCAATTCTAAAAATTTTGACACAAGATTTGTGACTTGTGTTCTACCAATGCACAATCAATATTACTATTCCATCTACAAACGGAAATGGCAGATACAGTCATATTGGCCTCGTTTGGGAACTTGGCTATTTTAGTTGGCATTTTAGTTTTTTGGCTATTTTAGGAGATGAAAAAAGTTGTGTTTGGGATGATTTTTGGATTTTTTTTGTAGTTAAATAAATGGTTGTGAGAGAAAAAGTGATTGATTGATCTGTAGGATGTGACATTTTGTCTTATTGGCTATTTTAGCCTTTTTTTTGTCTTTAATGGTTATTTTAGCCAACAAAGCTCTTGCCAAAGCGATCACGATAAAATCACAATACATGTTATAATTGAAAAAGCACCTAGGTTTGGTTCTAATTCAACAGGATATAATGCCAGGTGAAAATCAGACCAGAAAAGGAAAAATGCTAGCAAAACATTGTTTGCAATTTTTAAGCCTCATTCTGTTATACCATCATTATCCCTCCTCTTTCAAATTAGAAGTAAACCCAATTCAGTCCCATTTGATGGGGTAGGGGTAGATTTGAGTACATATCTGCTTTGGCATAATTTGCAAAAAGCGACTGACATCATGCCCGATCCCACAACCTCAAGGTTAATAGTTGAGTTTTAACGACTGAACCAGTGGTCCCCTTTTCCTTCTCTTCCAAATTAAATAATTAAATTGTTATGTATTGGTAACAAAATGTTAAACAAAGTAAAAAAAACCAAACAATGACGATTACAGATTTGCAGTGAGAAAAGAAAGAAAAAGATAAAAAAAAAAATCAGAGGTCCCTGTAACTCTAGCCAATGATAACAAACTTCCTAGTGTTTGCTGGTAAAGAACCAGAAGCGTGTGAAGCTACAGAAAATCTTTACTGGTGCCTGGCATAATCATACTCCACAGGATTAATGGCCTGGTTAACCTAAGTTCTCTAAAAAGAAAAGGCTGGAACTTATCCCAATAGGTAAGAAAACCTTTGAAAAGATTTGGTTTAGTTTTTGGAAACTCAGTAAACTATTTCATATTTAATCACATTTTCTTACTTTTTTGATGCACCTAACCATCTAAAAAGTAACATATTTGTGAACAAATTTGAAAAAGGTTCACTAAAAACAAAAAATATGTAAGCTAGTTTTTTAACTTTTATTTTTGTATGTAGAAGTCTTTAGTGAACTTTTTCCAGATTTCTTCACAAATATTTGACTACTTTTAGGTGCATCTCTAGATTAGGTAGGTGTACATCTAAAAAGTTAAAAAAGAAATGACTAAAATATGGAAAAAGTTCATTGAAGACAAAAAAACTCAAAAATAGTTTTGAGTTTGAAAACCAAACAAGATGCAACTTGAATTCAAATTATACCTGGAAAAAGTTCATTGAAGACAAAAAAACTCAAAAATAGTTTTTGAGTTTGAAAACCAAACAAGATGCAACTTGAATTTAAATTATACCTGGAAAATTAATTCATCTGGGATGTGGGGAAGCACCTCCCGTACGGTTTCAGCCATGGCAAGTACGTTTGCTATGTTGTCATTTGCAACTCGTGAGGTAGACCTCATATGTAACCCCACAGAACCAGCAGGAGGAAGGGTTGAATTGGATGTACCAGCCTGAGAGGGATTCATAGGCCAAAGGCTCCAAGCAGTGTCTTCAAGGGTGGTCTGGGCATAGGTTTCTCCTACAGCTGCAAGATGCCTCATCATCATCTGAACTCTCCCTAGTCCAACCGACCTCGTACCAGTAGATGGACCAGCCCCATCTAGACCCTGGCCAGACCATGTTTGCAACCAACTTGAATCCAGTCCTGCCCCCCTAACAAAGGTCAAATACAAGAGATGAAAATAGTAGATAAGTAATAGCAATGGTTTCAAGGATTACTGTAGTAGAAAGAAGAGTGAGAGATGATACACAAGGTCTGCTTACAATTGCTTAATATCACTATAGCAGGCTGTTTACCGCAATCTGGAGTCTAACCAGTAATTTTCCACTTACCTTTTCTTAGGTGAAAGGAGCCTCTATTTCCACACACCCTTTTTACTCAGTTCACACTTCATCGATAAATTTTTTATTACAATTATACCGTCAAGCAAAATGAATAATAAGGACATTACCGCACAAACACCATACCTTTGGTTGAGTAATTGATATCTGACTAATGAGTTTTTGTTCAATAGTTGATATCTAACTCAAGGGTTTGGAGTGTGTGAACTAAGAAAAAGTGTGAACTGAGCAAAAATGATGTGTGGGAATAGAGGCTCCCATGAAGTAACCAGAGTTTTCTATTTACCTTGCACAATAAAGCAGCTAAAAAAACTTAAGACAGTTTGTAAACTGCACAAAAGGTTTGGTGTATGGTAATACCAAATTGTTATTGAAAGGTTCAATCTGTACTACGAGGCTTATTTGTGTTCCAAAAAGCTAGAATTATGCGGGCAAGGAAATTCTTCCTGCAAAGCTAGAAGGGGTTGGTATTTTTCCTACCAAAAAATATGAGAAAATAGAGTTGGTATCTATGAACTGCACACTATTACTAAAAGAGTTGCTCTTCCACAACTATAGGACTGTTGGGTGCAGCTTATTTGAGCCGCTTATAGCTTTTTTATTCTTAGAGTTTGTGTCAGACTATTTGGAATAACTTCTGCTTACAGCTTATTAGGCTGAAATAGTTTAAATAAGATGAAAAAAAGCTAATTATCCGAAAGCTGAGGGAGGGGTACTTTTGGTTTCTACTTTTTTATTATCAGCTTTTAGCTCACAATGATCTGCACCAAACAAGCCCATTAAAAAATAAAAAAATAAAAAAAGCACTCGCCTTGAGGAATGACATCATCCAATAGTAACCGTACACAAATGCATAAGGAGACAAACCTCAAAGCACCACTTTCTAACGGGTTCTGTATCTGATTGGGAAACACTCCTGTGGGTAGGGTATGACCAGGATGATTATGCAGTTCAAGAGCAGAACTTATTTGACGGGCTAGTTGCTCATTAGTTGAAATATCCGCAGCACGAGGGATTGCCTCGTCTTCAGGTCTGCCCATGTGAAGTGGTTTTCGACAAGTGGGGCAAGAGTAATTCTCACTTAAACCTTGATCCAACCTAATATTAATGTGTCATTGTCAGCACAATGGAACTTTGTACAGTTGCAGTTCACATGCAAAGAGCAATCGTCACAAGCAACATAGATCATACCAAGATCTCAAACATGCTAGATGGAAAAGATGTTTACAAGATAGTCTCTTCGCCTTTGCCATTGGTTCCTGTCATTTGCCCACCCGTCAAAAAGCTTGGAGATTAACAGAAAATCAAACAGAGAATTGAGAATGAACTAAGCTAACAAGCTCACCCTACAGATAGCACATTCATCATCATATGCTTCTATCTCCTCTGATGTTGCATCTGGAAGTGCCCCATGAAGGGCACCTAAAGCTATCTTCAACCTAATAAATCCTTTGATACGTTTTACAATTGCACCTAACAAGGCCTGGTCAATAATATGAAGTGTTAAATAAAATAAACATGAAATAATAATGTTGAAAAGTCCAAGTCAAAATGAATGTCAATATATTGCTACAAAAAAATAGCGAGAAACTTTACACGTATATTTAGGAAAAGAACTGCATCCACAAGATGAAATTTCATGCCATGAAGCCACCAGATATGCACATAATGACAGAGTGCCATCAATAACGTCATGATGTCCAGAAGAAAACCCAAGTTCCGTATGAGAATGCCTTTCCATTCACAGAATGAACCTGCAGTCAAATTCGTTAAGTTACAATAATGACAAATCCAATCCACAACAACAATCACAAGTACCCTTGGTCTTTAGCAACAGCATCAACAATAACAATAGAAAATGAATGATTGGCAAGAATCACGGAAAGCCTTAATCTTAGAAAGAATTACTACATAAACAATACCAAGACAACCCACCAACTAAAAACATGTCAAATTAAAATAATCATAAACATATAAACCTTTAAGAGAAGAAGATAGGGATTGGTGCATTTTCTTGACATTGGCACCAACTGAGCAGCCTAGGCATAGGTAAAAAGGTCCTGTAAAGCTTTTACTATTGCACCAAGCAACAGCCCCCCTTATGTTTATAGGAAAGAAAGAAAAGAAGGAAAAAAAAAAAAGAGGAAAAGAAATAAAGAAAACTATACGGTGCCACACTTCACAAAACACATCTTCTTTCAAGATCATAAAATACTGGCTTAGAAAAAAGAAAGAAGACAGCAAAATAAATGCAGCACCAAATTTTTTTTTATGAGATATAAGCGGACAAGAAAAAAATGATACCATAGTTGGCTTAACATGTTTTACCTGTTCATTCAAATAACTTTATGTTTATAGGGGGGGAAAAGGAAAAGAATACAAAGAAAACTACACAGTCCCATGCTTCACAAAACACATCTTCTTTAAAGAACAGGGAATACTGAGTTAGAGGAATGAAGAAAGAAAACAGCAAAATAAATGCATCACAATAAAAATTTGGGAGCCATGAGCAAATAAGGAAAAAATGAATAACGGGACCAGAGAGCATAAGAACCCCCAACCACTTGGTAACAGAACAACAAAATAACATGGCTACATAAAAAAAATTAGCAAACAACCTGCTGCTGATATATCAGAGAGTTTGGACCTTTGGCAATTTATGTTGTTCCCTGCCGAATCATGGAGCCATATATCGAGCAACTGAAAACCATGAATCACAATAGCCTACAAAAAAACAATTTGCAGACCAAAGAACCTTCAGCCTGTGTTTATCATATGTTCCACGGGGAAAATGTTACATGATCTACAGATAGATCTATCCATTATGAAAATGAAAAGACTTCCCATTAAGAGTACCTGTAATGTCTCAAAAGCAATACTAAGAGGCTCGAAAAATAACAATAGAAACATATACGATTCTAATGTTCTGTATATCACTAGACACAGCTTTATCCTGTAAGCAGCCAAAAAAACAAGAATACGTAAATGAGAAATTTATGAATAACTGAAAATTTGAAAAGGGAGATGAAACTAGCATGGACATCAACTCTTGCGATTCACAAGAGGGAAAAGTTTAAAAATCGTCATTCCTAATGTTTAAGATCAATTGGTAGAAGCTGGAAGAATCAACAGATCATCTCTTCCAATAATCTCCATTTGAATTTCTTCTGGAACCTTGGTCCAAAGATGTAATAATTAGTGTCTCAACTTATCTATCAAATACTTATGCTGATCATAGTATTTTTCAATCTGTTAATAAAATAACTGATTGCAGAAGGTTTTAGCACAAATAGAATATTGGACCAAACAAAAGAATGCAATGGTAGCTTTGATGGTTTGCTGTAATCCAGAATTTTTAATCACTTCCTGTAAGTATTTTGTGCTCCCTCTATTCTTTTATCCTTCAAATGTTCTATAATTTATACGATGGAGAAGCATAAAAGAATAAAAACCCAAGGATGTAACCACCTGAGAGATTGATATGTTTGGAAATTTGGAATCCTACACAACTGAACTTCTACAGCGCACACCCAGAAATTTGATTTCTTTCAATAATCAGATTTTGATGGGCTTGAAAACCCTCATCCTTTAAAGAAACTGTTATATTTGCCTGATGTTCTGCTTCCCTTCTAGCTTCAATTCTTGCTTTCTCACCATCACCTGGATTACAAATGATATGTATTTCTCGTTCTTCAAAATTTACGTCCACGGTGATGACATTACAGGGAAAGTCAATGTGGTCACTTGATACACTTTCTCCAACGTATGTCCTGGCCGGGAGATGTGTATGGCGAACTATCAGAAGAAAAGTTGAGTTCCCAACCTTCATTAGGATCTCCAATTGCTTATTTATTCGAATGCTTCGATGCTTCGTCATCTAACATACACTTGCCATTCACCTCATCATCCCTGAAATGCAATCGTTTTCTTGCCTTTTTCACAAGCTCAGAATCAGACCTACACCCAGTATCTCATTGTTTTGTTCCCCTTACATATTCTGGAATGTTTTGATAGTACATTGATGGTACTGGAGAATATTTTGGAGAAAAGGCTTCCGAAGTGTATACTAGAGAAGCTGGTGTGTACTCCAGAGAAGCTAACGTATACTCTGGGGAGTCAGGTATACTAATAGGAGATGTGATACAATCTCCTTCCCTAACTGGTGAGGCTGGCATGCACTCTGGAGAAGCTAGCATATACTCTAGGGAGTCAAGTATACAAATAGGAGATGTGATACAATCTCCTTCTCTAACTTTTGAACAAACTTCATCTTCATTTTCATCATCATCACTCAAAACAATGATGGTTAGGCAAGGGACCACAGTAAATTTTTTCTCCCTCCTCTTATCAAAGTACGTCTGCAACTACAGAGATTGAAATTTTGAAAGCAAGAATTCCTCCAATGTGACTGGGATAAGGGGACATTGTTCTAATTGTTCATCAGGAACCAATTTCTCTCATTTTTCCTTCTTTGGGTCCTTATTTCCTTGTCTCTTACTTACTTTAGCCTTTTTCTGTTTCTTGGAAACTTTTGATTTTTGTTTCTTCAAAATTTTTAGTCCTTGTTATGTTATAGAAGCAACCATATTTCTCGCTTTCACTATGGCATTTCACTTTTTCTTTTCACATGATAAATGACCCATTCACCTTCATTATCATTGTCGATCATAATTGGGTTAGCAAATGCTTTCTCTTGAGGAGAGAGCTCAATAATCTTAGGAGTCCAGAAGTTTCTAAATTTTATTTTCCAGAACAAAGTTCTCCCTTATTGGATGGCTAATTAAACGATGGTAGGGACAATACTTTGGATCGTTCGTTTTTCCTACCTCATGTGGTCTTTTCACCTCAAGAAAAGCAATCAACTTTTGCTCCAACAGATCTTCAAATAAGTCTTCGACCAGATCATCCGTGAAAGAATATTTCTTCTCTAACCTTTCTTTCAGTCGCCTTTTTGAATTCCTTGGGCTTTTTAGCCCCAACTATAACAGGACCCTTATTTCTAGTTACAACTATGGCTGCGGTCGAGGACTCAACCCTTTCAATTGCCCTAGACCTCCTGTGTCTTCGTTTGGCCAGATGCAGCTCCATATCATGAACTTTAGTGCATAGATCGTTGAATGCTTCAAAAGTTTGAGCCATAAAAGCCGTAGAGAGCTCATGTCGGAAGTTAAGGCACATCCGAATTAACTCTAATTGCGTGAACTTTTGAGGGCAGGCAAATGTCAAAGCTCGCCACCTCGCAATGAAATCTATAACAGGCTCATTGTCACGTTGCTTGGTTTCAAACAATTCTGAAACTTCACCATGGAATCCCAATTTTGGGGTTGACCCCTCAGGAATGTTAACGTACCATATAAATGCAGAACTTTCAAGTGATTGGACAAATAACTGTAGGTAAGGGCCTCATTCTGGGCTATTGGCCTACATCTTGAAAGAAAGTGAGCCACATGTTGTCTTGGATCGCCTGTCCCATCAAACATTTTGAAATCTGGTTGGGAAAAACCAGAAGGAAATGGAACAACATATATCCATGTTGGGTAAGGCTTTGTAATTACTCGAAAGTTCTCATCATCTTTCTCCTTGACTTTCTTTACTAGTTTCGTTACCATATTATCAATCATGGCCATGAGCATTGGATTCATACTACCACTGGTTAGATCAGAGTAACAAGGACCATTGCCCCTTGGGGCTAGTGTGCTTTGTACACCTATGGATGTTCCCACTACAAGTTGTGCCATTTGTTTGGGTGCACTTCCTGTTCCTGTCATTTAGGCCTGCAACTGTTGCATTTGCTTCAACATAACAGCCATTTCCCGTTCTCTTCTCTCAAATTGTTCTTGTAGGGCCACCACTTTTTCCTTGAGACCCTGTTGGTCTTGCTGGACCTACGAATTTTCGCCTTCTTTTTCAACATCAGTCATCATAACTGCAACGGTTTTGTTGACATCTCTTAAATCATCACTTTCAGATGAGTTAGATGAGACAGAATCATCTTGTTTGTATAAAGGATTATCAATCCCCACAACATTACTTACATTTGAAGCATCTAACTGCGATGCTTTGTTCTGAGCCTCATGGATCATAGACCTTGTTACAGGCCCTTTTCTTTTTCCCTCCATAGATAGTTGGATCAAGACAGAAATACTTTCCAAGGGTCGTTTGCCCTCCGCCTTTGAGAGGCTTGACTTTCCAGTCGAGTCCAATTCCATAGTTCTTTCTAGTGTGAAGATAAGACTTTCAATTTGTTTTTGGCATTCATCTTTCGAGAGAGCCTTTTCAACAGCTCCTATAACATTTGTCGCCACTGTTCTTCGTTCCAGTTTCCTTATGGCCTTATTCTTCCTTCGCCTTTGTCATTTTGAAATTGGACCATCTGATGACATATCAAGTCGGGTTTTTGCAAATTTTTCTAGTTGATGTTGATTTGAACCCCATTGGGCCAACAAGTGCTCCTTTTTTTGATTTGGACCCTCAAACATGATTGGGTTCTAAAGGCAAACTTCATGCCTTGAACAGAACTGTCGATTTGTAGGCCGCAATTGTTTTTTCATCAACAGGAGCGGTTGTTTTTCCATCAATAGGAGTTTGGGTCATTACCCTACTCCTAATAGCCCTAATGATGGCCATGTTTTCAACAGAGGCACTCCTCTGGGCAGACTCTGCCATTTTGACGCAGTCTTCTACCCTTATGAGTAACTGGGCCACAACATTTTATGTTGCGCCTGCTGAAGCTGCAACAAAGGCAGTAGTTGCAACTTGATTAGCCTCCCTTGGCTGGATTAGAAAGCTCTTCGTTCGGGCTGTGGCCCTCACCGTTGTGTAATGCTTCAACGCCTTCTCATAATCTTCAGCAATCTTTTTCAAATTTTTAGCTTTCTGAAGAAGTGTGACCTTCTTCGTGACACAAGTTACCTTTGGGACAACCAAGAGCATTCGCTCCGGAGCCCCTTGGGCCACAGGTGCTGGGGAAAGAAGTGCATCTTTCCAGAATTTCGCTAGTTCTATCTTTGGGACAGCCAAGAGCATTCGCTCCAAAGCCCCTCAAGTGACAGGCGTCATCTCCATCCTTCATGATTTCAGAACCACTGGAGTGTAAGTTGGCCTCTTGACAGTTAATTCAGCATTCCTATAACAAAAGAATACGTTAGTTTCAAATATATGTATATATATTTTTTGTTCTTCAAAAGATGGGAGGAAAAATAGGTCCCACAGGGCGTGCCAGAATTTGTAGACATAATGTTTCAACACTGTTTAGTTTTTGAACTAAACAGTGTTGATTATTTGAATATCAGGTTCTTATTTCTGATCCGTATTTCAGATCGTTAATTACACATTTTATTTAAATGAAACCTTTGATTAATGAAGAACAAAATAAATAATAGAAGACAATTTAAGAAAAATAAATATTTTATTGAAATTGTTATGGGTTTTGAACCCTTGAATACAAAGTACATTTATTGGGCTTAGAACCCTTTAACTATTCATCGCCATTCTGCGTTTGTAGCGTAGGCACTGGAGTTCTCTAGGCTTCTTTTCTTCTTTCTTATAACTTCATTAGCTCTTGATTTCTCTCTCTCTCTCTCTCTCTCTCTCTCTCTCTCTCTGATCTTCTCACTTCTGATTTTCTATCCCCTTTGTGTGATGATCCCACATATTTGTAGAGGGTCATCCAAGTAATAAGAGGATCTCATCCTCAATTTGAATTTCAAATTTCAAATTTCAAATTGAATGATAATGCCATTTGAATTTTGAATGATAGCACCATCTGAATTTGGGTGTAACCATATCTGATTAATCGTATGTCTGATTAACCATATTGATCCTTTGGACTTCATCCTGTGTGATGTCGTTACTGTAGGCTCTACAGGTGTCATCTTTCGTAAGCTCTACGTGTCACTTGAGTATCTTGAATAATATTGTTGAGATACGACATCATTTTATTTATGCACTTCAACGGATCAAGTTGATCATTTTAGGAAGTGATTACCTACAACAATCCTATCATACACTCTGTGTGTCACTAACTGATTGACCGAATTTGAAATTTGAACAAAAATTTCAAATTTATGTGCCAACACACATCTTAATAAGGCGGCTAAAAAAGTGTGTACATTCTTTATTGCACACACACAAAGGAAATACTTCTGTGCTTAACAAAACTAGTTTCTGAGTTTCTTCTTCTTAGTATTACAAAATAGCTTTTTCTTGGAAGGTACAACTTTTCATTTCCGATACAATTTTGTTTCCAAAAAATTATGACTGGTTTACATACCACATGTTTATTGCAAAAATGGAGAATCAGAATTTTCTTTTCAATGCATTTCTGTTTTCAATATTAAAATGCAGGAAAGACGTTCTCAAAAACCAAAAGTATTTACGACCAAAAAAATGATCTCAAAGGTAGATAAAAGATTAGACGCAGTAAATTGTACCAGAGCAAGTCAACGGATATAACCAACAATAATACAGAATATACACGAAAATATGTCCATGGAGTTGCAGAAGGAGATGCATTCAAGCGGTCTAGTCGATCTCTAGCCAAAGCTTGGAACATCTGTACATTTCACAAAAGATGATTTAGGAAGAATTATATGCCAGTCAGTTTCATACATACAAATCTTCGCCTTAAAATATAATTCAAAATACCTTTAATGAACAAAGGATAGTCAACCATGTTGACCACAGGCCCACTTGAAATACTGTTGGTGGGACAATCATGGGAAGAAACGTCCCCTGCTCAACAGTCATCAATATTCAGACAGCAATTAGAGAAGAACAAAGATTTGACTTATTGATAATAGTGAGCAAAGCAGCTTATCTGGATTTCTAAAACCCCAAACATATTAAGGTATATGAATAGCAGATCAATTTGTTTTCTAAAACACTTAAACATTTCAAAATGCAACTAAGTTAAAATATCTCATTGCCATCAAGAACTCAACCACCATGGCAAAGTTTCATACTAATCCTAATTAGCAACCCTAATTGATTATAGTGATTTATTCAAGAAGCAATTTTGGTGCGACGATTCCTTAACCTGGAAAAACTAAAACAAGTTCAATCTAGCCAAAAAGCTGATGAAAATAGAGGAAATCCCAAGAAACATTCCTCCAAGCATGTGACAACCTTGATACAAATTCCAGTTTCCACATTAAGCAGCTGTTTTCCTCCCTTGATATCAAGCTATCATGAAAGTCATGGCAAACTTATTTTAGGCCTCATGCATATTTTAGCCACAACTTCTCTCTATATAACATTGCTTTTTTTTTCTTCGCCCCCATAGCCTTCCAGTTAGATGCCTGTTTTAATAGCATTCTCCTAGCAATCCTGTTTATATGAATATGTACAAATCCCTTATTTTCTATGTCAACTATCATCCTATTATTTAATCTTCTTTTTTAATGCTTTTTTTACTAGACTAAATTTCTATTCCAGTTGTACTCTCTCTCTCTCTCTCTCTCTATTCAATATTTAAGGTCCTTCAGCTCTAACTAGATGAAGATAACATTTTCCCTCCTTCATGGGACAGGGAGTAGACCATAGTTGTAAGGGAAGAGGACAGGGCAGAAAAAAATATAATATTAAAATAATTTCCTTCTCATGAAGGTATATCAATGATGTATTCCCATTTGTAACAAAATCAAGAACACAATGTTCAATCAACAAATCCTAGATATAAGGTCAAACGTGCATTCCTAGGTTAGCCAATTCTATGTTCTCCCATCCCAATAAAAAATTCTTTCATCTAATCTTGTCAAATGGATCTTCCAATTGCTTACGGTGTATTTGAATAGAACATTCTAAAAACACTTCTCATTAATGGCTATTCTATCAACTTCTTCAACTTTTTTCCAAAATGTAATTATGCTTAAAATCTACTGTCAAATAAAAACAAACACTACCTGCTCCTAGCCTGTTTTAAACTTGTTCGCTGGAGTTTGCTCGCAAGGAAAACAATTTACCACCGCATCAAGTTCCACACCACCTCCAACTCTGTTGCACTAGTTTTCTCCCTATCTCCGAAGCGTATCAATGTATGTGCACGTATTGTTTAAGAAAAAAAATAAAAGATTCATTTGCAACCAGAGTCTAAATCTTTTCAATGTTGCTCTGATCCTTACTTATTATCACTGTGACACCATTTCACTTCTCACTTTATAAGGAATAAAATATCTTAGTTTCCAAAAGAGAAAGCGCCTCAAAACTCTACCTAAATTCTCAACAAGGGAGAAAACAAAAGGATAAACAAATAAGGAAATAGAAAACGACAAAGATATACAAATCCAATTCATCTATTTGTGACAGATTAAGAACATTTACCTTGTAAATAACATAGTTAATAAGTCGTTCTACCAATTTTCGAGTTTCAGAAGGGTACAGCTCCACAAAGAATAGTGTCTGCATGAAGAGAACAATAATAATGTCGATCAAACAATGTTACTCATGTAGAAGATTACTTCACCAATAAATCCAAAACAAATCCATCAACCAAAATGAACGGCACACGATAGAGTATACGGCAGCATTGCAAGCCCGGCCAGGGGCTTTTTTATGATTATGTGATGAACCTAATTGTTGGAGGATTTACAAGGATTTCTATTGATACAATTTAATTGGTAGTAGTATTACAAGGTTTTTTAAATAATGTTACTGAATTTCACGTGTTTCATGTATTTATGATGTCTCCTACGAATGAGAGACTTGGAAAATGTGATGTGCTTTCCCTATCATGTCTTTTCTCTCTTTTTCTTCTCTATCTCTCCTCATATATGGCCAACAAAAGTATTGATCTGCCTGTCACATATCCGACATAAAAATAAATAAATTTAAAAACTTATGAGATCTAGACTACATCAGTTTGGTATTCAAGCAAAGATTCATGATGATGATCAAGATGATGTGAAGATCCCCACAATGTCAAAAAACCCAAAACTCAAGGCCAATCATTTTCCAACAAGAAGAGCTTGATGCATTGAATTGATGGACGACTCACAAGAATAATTTTTAATTGATATAATTTAATTAGTGGTCTTATTACAAGGTTCTTATGATGTTGAATTTTCTCGTTTCAGTTATTTTAGGACTAAAATTTGATACTTTATTTGTTCCATTCCGTATGAGGAAGGATGAATTTTAGTTTGTTTTTGTGTGGGTTATAAAGTCTGTATATAGGCCCTATTGATGTAAAACAAATACGAATAACATTTGGAAAAAAGATGAAAGAGATTCAACACAACACGACACAAACACTCAACACGATACAAACATGACACAGACACACCTAGATGAAAATTTTCAAAAAATATAAGACACAACACGTAGGACACACATGCAAAATATATAGTTTTATATATTTCTTTTAGGATATATATATAAGGCTAAGGTAACTTAAGTAATTATTATATGTCATGTATATGAATATTTAATTCAAAAATAATCATTTTTAAAATCCAAGTTATTTTATTCAAACTTGTATGTATTTCATGTGTGTCTAAGGGTCCAAGCTATGCACAAGTTCCCCAAGTGTCTTAAGCGTGTTAAAGTCTAGCAAATTTTTTAAAATAGGAGGACATGTTTGGATGAGCATTCAATATGTATTGGGCAGTGTTTGATGAGTGTCATGTCATGTCATGTCAGACATCAACAAAACAAGCCTTCTTAGAAGTCCCAGTGCTTCTTAGTCTAGACATTTTTTTTTCAATGCACTGCAATCCACACTTTTTCTGAAGTCTTAGGTAGCACAAAAAATTTTGCCAACTAGCCATGCCTATATAAGACATAGTACTGGAGACTTTTTCCCCAAGGGGCCTGAGGAGCTACTCAAGAACAGTGTTGCCAAAAACACTAACATCCTAGTGATTTACATTTTGGAATGCACATTCCAAAACATGGTATATTTTCGTTTGAAAACGGTAAATTTAGCGATCTCAAGCAAACCAATAAAATTTTCTATGTGTTTCATTAAAAGTTCTCCTTAATAGGGAAAAAATCAAATATGATGAACTAAAATCTAGATGGAGTATAGTTTTGGATTGGCAATATGCAAAACAATGGGTCATAACACTCATAGAATTGTGTTGTTGAATGATTAATTTGAAGGAAAATAAACTATAATATATTAGATGTCAAAATAAGAAGTCTACACCTATCGTTCCATGTTTTGGAGTACGTGGCATTCAACATTTTCATTCCCGTTTCTAATACCATAATGATCCGTGTTCTAGGTAGCGTAGCTCAAGAAACTTAAGACACATACTAAAGTGAAACAAATAATATAGAATTTAAACTTAACCTTTTTAAAATTGTGCATGACCAACATGCAACAAACATTCACTAAGCCTTTGTTAGATAAACACTTCAAAATGCTTGGTTACATAATCAGTTAACACCCAATACACTTTCACACATGGATATAAGATATGCATTTAACATGCCCATGCCAATTTTGATGTGCATCCCCAATTTCAAAACGAGTGTTTAATAATGGAGATTAGAATGTATACTCATTCAGGGCAGAAAACAAAAGGGCACTGAAAGGATGTCAACATAAAGTTCTTTACTGCAATAATATTTCCACTATTTCAACAGATGAAAAATGTTATATAAAACTTGTTCTTGTTTACATGCACTTAGTTGTACTAGTAGGATTAGACACTCATAATGACCCTGCCTCATAAGGGAATAACTAGATCTAACACAGAACGACACTGAAAATTTAGACAGCTGGATTCAAGTAACATAAGGTAACACGCATTGCGGTAACATTGGGGGACACCTATTTGGTTTTAGCATATAAATATAACGCTACTAGAGCAAATATGTTTAATTGGTAAGATTATTTACAAATATTAAACAAATTATATCAAACTAGACAATCAACTATGTACGAATGTCCAACAATACATACCCACAAGCCCAACTTTGACAACAACTACATCAATATAAGAAAGAGACCCATAATGGAAAAGAAATAAACAACTAAAGAAAGAATCTTAATAGAAGAAATAATCAATCTTTGCCTATGGCACGAATTGACCCCTTGACCTCTTAGTTGAGAATGTACAAGAGTTGCCAACTAGATGTGTACAGCTTTGCATGCTTCTCATGTAGGAAATAATAATCAACAAACTATAAATTAAAGGCAGTTAAAAACAGACAAAAAGTCACCTTAAGACCCAGAATGAGCAGGACAAACACATTCAGTGCAAAATTAGCCAACAATGCAATTGTGGCTTGAGAACCAAAAAGCAATTGTAAGGCATGCCTGGCATTCACAGATTCAACAGAATGCCCACCAACTAACCCATCTGATTTTAGCTTCTCAAGTGATAGTTCCGTCCAATATTGGAGGCCGACGAAGCTTAACAATGTGCAGACTACTGAGATTGATAAGTAGCTCGCACCCATGGGCAATACCAATAGCTTCTTCACCAAAACCAAGGTTCCAAAGTTTCATGAGACCCTAATTACCATGACACTTTGGCGGCAAAACTTAGCATAAAAGCAAGCTGGAGAGACCAAAACTATGACTTGGCTTGTACACCCTCCAAGATCAACCTTTTAAATTATCATGGAAATGCCCCAAGATGAAGTCAATAAACCTGCATCGAAAATCAAAAGTGAACCATAATCATAATCTAAGTCAAAGAGGCCTAGTATACTTTTGACAGGCACCACAATCTTGAGCATTGTCAATTTGTCACACTCACACAAACGAAGGATTGTCGCAGCTTTCTCTAAGAGGGTTAAAAAGTCTAAAAATGCACATCCCCGTAGACATTTTGGTCCAATTACTACTCGGCCTATTATGCTTTCCTTGCATCCTCCACGTTATCATCTCAAGTTTCAACTCAACGATACTTGCACCATCTTATCAGGAAAGGGTTTTTTTTTTTTTTTTCACCGATTCACTCTATCCAGGGTCATACTTTCAGTTAGACAATACACCAGGCTTTATTTCCTTCCAACCTAACCAGTCATTTACGTATCTTTTTCATTTAATTTTGTATGAATCATCTATAGAATTATTCTTAAGAATTATACATTTTCTAAGGGTATAAGATATTTATGTCAAATTCTCAACTTAAAAAATCATACATTAGCAACTGTTGAAGAAGTGTCAGCCTCATGTTTAATTTTTAGTGATAGACATGGCCAAGAAGTGACGGACACATCACAAAATGAGTGTCGAACACGTGTCTGAAATTAAAATTTTTATTTTTAATTATGGATATGGAAAAAAGAGTATTAGACACAGGTTCAAGAGCGTTCGAGAAGCGTTGGTGTCTGACACAGACATGTTGCCTTCTTAAAAGTGTCCATACTTCTTAGCTCTATCCAGGATCATAATTCAGTTAAACAATACAGGGTATGTTTGGTTTGGATTTCTAGAGTGATTTTGGGAAAAAAAATTTAGAAAATTTGTTTGGTTTGTAAATTTTCCAAAATAATTTTCAAAATCACTTTCTCCCTCTTACCTATCAATCAATCACTTTTTCTCTCTCCTCTCTCCTTCTCAATCACTTTTTCTCTCACACACATCTACTCAATTATAACAAAATATCAAATCATTCCAAACTCCAAAACAACTTTCAAAATACACAACCAAACAAACCAAAAAAATTTCTAAACTCTCTCCCCAAAACAATTTTTAAAAACAACCCTCCCAAAAACAAACCAAACAAGCCCACAGCTTTTCTTTCCTTCCAACCTAACCAGTCATTTGCTTTTTTGTCCTCCCATCCCTATATTCCTCTCACTGTTCTCTAACATACTAAAATCACTACAACCCATTAAAACCAATCTCATATTACTGGCTAACGAACATCTTTCCAGACTAGAGTATTGGTTTTCTTCCTAACAAATTTAAGATCCCTTTTCTGCATTGGTTTTCGTTTTCCTGCAAACTTGGAGTCAGGAAGCTGGTTGCAGACTCTCCTAGTTAGGGGTATACCCCTATTGCTGCTGTACATATGGTCTTTTCTTCATTAAATTATTTAGGGGAAATCACCTATCAGTGGTATTATCATAAAATTATTACACAATCATGAAAATATTTATAACTTTAATTATTAATGAATATAAAGTTTACCACTTATCTGTAAAATTTTTATTTTTTATTTTTTTTGAAAGTTTACACTGATTTGAAATTCCCCCAATTATTTACCTACCCAGCAAAAAAATTCTTTTCAGGCCAGATTAGTCTAGACCACCCCCAAAAAAAAATCTTTAAATTCGAACAATTTATAAACATACAAAACTGATGGATAGAGCTTCTTAATGGATCTAACAATCGACAAAGTTCATACATAATTCTACAGATTTTGATACAATTGAAACAACAAAAGGAAGACCCAGAAACCCTAAAATTAAGCACAAAACCAAGAGCCGAAAACGGAGAAGAACAGGGGTGAGGCGTGAAGTAGAGAGAGAATAAATGGATTGAATTAAATGAAAAACAATAATCTACCCATGAATCTGCAAGAGCATGTAAGCTTTGATTGGGTAACTATTGAAGTGCATATATATATACACAAATATGAAAAAAAATCAAATTATTAAAAGAGAGATAGGATAGGAACAAATTGAGAACCTGGTTCGATCTGAAGTCGAATGTGATTTGAGTTTCTCTGAGCTTTCACCTACATTTCATGAGAGAAAAAAAAGAGGGCGAGAGAGAGAGCGCTTTTGGGACCATCGGGTTAGCTTTTGCGGGAAAGTATATTACTATCATTAATTATTAATAATAATAGCAATAAATAGAAATTCTATAATGTCGGGAATGGAACCTTCCTAAGTATCATTCCAATAAATAATGAAAAATTTAATCAAAATCTCTTCATTATATTTTTATGGAAAAACTACCAATAAATTCCACTTTTGGAAATATTATTCCATTTGGTCCTATATATTTTCTTATATTTCGTTTGGTCCTTTTTTAGTGTAAAGAATCTGTGTATTTGATTTGTTATTGGTGATGTTTACAGTTTTACCCCTGTGCAATGGGAATGAGTAAATTCCGGCAAATAATGTGGATTTTGTACTTTAATGGTAACGCAGTGTAACATTTCTATCTTATATAATATTTGATTCAGTGATTTGTGTTGCATTGGTTAGGTTGTTGGGTTTTGTGTTTACTCGTTGTGGGGTTTTTGTCTTCAAAGTTTGTCGTGATGTGTTAGTTATTCTGGTGCTGCCGATGATCTGGTATCTTCTCTATCAAGGTAAGTGTGTAATGGTTTTTGTTTATTGGTTTTGGATTGTGTGGGTTTTATGTTTTTTAATTTTTTTGTATTTAGTTGATGGGTGTGGGTTTGGGGAATGTGTTGTTGAGGGGTTGTGTTATTTTTTTTTTTTTTTTTTTTGGGTTGCAGCCATGGAGGTTGTTGTTACTTTGTTGCTGTGTACGTTCAACCAAACGAATGTCGTCGTTCGACTTCATCAAGCGTTGACATTTGCAGAGTTGGTAAGTGGGATTTGCGGGAAGGTTGATAGTTTGGACCCCAAGATGGTGGTATTATTGTTTTCTATACCTAGGTACCATAAGTTTAAGGTTGCATGTAATGAGGATGTTCAGAATATGTCGTCCCTAGCCAAGTCTTTCGGTCTCGATCATGTCGATGTTCTCATTGAACAACAGAATGTTAGAGATAGCGTAAATCGCAGTGCCGGTGATTGTAGATTTGATGTTTGGAGCACCACCGGTAGTCACAAGTTTTTCGAGGTAGATGACCTAGCAAACCTGTTACTGTCGTATTGCCAGCATAGATCTAAGACGTACATGTCGGCTGATTGGGCAAGTGGTATTTCAAATGTGGGTCAATTTTTTAATGGGTGGAGCGAACAAATTTCAGACAGTGCTTTCCAAATACGCTGTCGAGTGTGGTTTTCAATTTAGGCATGTTAAAAATGATTCGATTCGTGTTACAGTCATGTGTAAGTTTGCAGAGTCAACAGGTTGTACGTGGTTGGTACATGTGAGGGTGCTAACATCGAACGGTATCTTTTGTTTGAAGAGCTTCAATAGTTTGCACACGTGTGGTGCGACCGTGCGAACGTCTAGGAATCTACGCACCGGTACTGATTTGGTAACCAACGTTGTCGCAGATCGTGTTCGTGTCCAGCCATTGACGCGTCTGTGATAACCCTCACCACTGATTAGTGCTAATCTATGCTTAAGCATGTTAAGTGACTAATTGACTGAAATTCTAACTGATTGATTGAGTGTATTAGTTTGAATGCATTTCTATCTGTTTGTCATTGAATTATTTGTCCATGTTTAAGTGCCGAACCGTGGATTGAAAGCCTTATCGACGGCCGAATCTGAAATTGATTAATATTTTGTGTTCATTAGAATTAATGTGATTTCATGGTAAATTTAGTTGAAATTTGTTTTGGTATGATTAAATTGGATTAAATAATGTTAAATTACATTAGTTTGAATAAGCCATCATTATGCCACTTAGCCTCCGTTTGGGAAGTGGGTTGGCTTTTTGGCTTTTTTGGCTTTTTTTGTGAGAGAAGAATGTAATGATTATGGGTTGGATGTGATGTTTTGTTTGTTATGGCTAAAATAGCCTATTTTGTTTTTTGTGGCTAAAATAGCCAAAAAAGCCTGAAAACCATCTTGCCAAACAGAGGCTTAGTGGGCCACTTACTAAGGCACCTTGAGACTTATTCAAACACATTTCCTCAGCCATTTGAGACCCATAACCGAGTGAGAGAGAGAGACTTGAGAGAGAGTTGTTTCATCTAGAGAAACTCTTGGAGAATTAGAAGTTTTGAAGAGAGGATTGCATATTTGAGCTTCTAGACTTGAAATTGAGGACATAAGGTAGGACATTCATCTTCTTGATTATGAATTCTAGTTGTACCTTGCATGGTTAATGAGTCTTTAGTGATCTAAGTCTAGAATTGGTTCTAACATGTTGAATTGAAGCTTAAATCATGCATGCATGTATACATTGTTAAGTTTTGAGGCTGATTTCATGGAAATCCTCACATGCATGTCCATATTTGGGTTATAGTTCATGAATTCATCATGTTTTGGAAGGATTGGCTCATTTGATCATGTATTGGAAGCTTTGATTTCATCTGAACATATGCATGTTGCATGTTCATCATGTTCTTGAAGTTTTGTTTGGAAATGGGTTCAATTGAACTATCTTTGGGCTTTGATTTTGCAAATTGATCTTTAAAACATGTCATATTATGAGTTTTAAAGTGTTTTCCAGAAAATTAGCCCAAAAGGATCGAATTTGATGCTTTAAATGTTGAGTTTCATGCTTGGAGACAAATCTAAAAATTTCAGATTTTGGATCCATGCTCGAGCGAGGAACTTCATGCTTGAGCGTATATTCTGAGTTCATGCAGTCCACTCGAGCGAGTAAAGTAACGCTCGAGCGTGAAATGCGTGTATCCAGTACTTTGCATGTGTTTACAGTCCGCTCGAGCGAGGGAATGCACGTTCGAGTGAGGACTTGTGTCTCACGCTCGAGCGGGGGTCGAGCGCCCGTCGACCATGAATTTCATGCATCCAGTACATATGCAGTCCGCTCGAGCGAGGAAAGTCACGCTCGAGCGGAGATCCTTTGTCTGCATGTCCGCTCGAGCGTAGAAAGCCACGCTCGAGCGAGACCCTTGTTTTGTGAAAATTTTGAAAAGTGTTTTAAAATACATCTTTGTATCCTCATTCCATCATAGGCATTCCTAGACCTTGTTTAAGGCATCTTAATGAGAATAATGCTATAGAACCATACTGAGTCAAGATATGGACTAAGTTATTGTTTCCCAAACGTGCAACTTAGTGTGTGTTCATCCTGTAACTGTGTAGGGTAGGCATCCGAAGACGCTCACTAGCCTATCTGTAACCCAGAACTCTGTGAGTAACAATGTTGTAAAGATATACTCAATCATGAATATTTTCTGAATGATCAACTATACTGCTTTCTGAAATGATATTTCTTACTGAATGAATGTTTGTCCTATTTACGAATTGTATTCGTGGCATTCATAGCAATTTACTGTTACTGTACTGCACTGCAACTGTCACAGAGATCTCTGTCGGTTCCCATATTTGAAACCACTACTGTTTACTGATATAATGGCCATCAAATGACTGTTCGGTCTGTCAAGACCTACTGTACTGTTTGCTATTGGATGTACCACTTATGACTACTATGATCAAATGACTGATATACTGTTATAACTGACTATTTTAAATACTGAAAGGATATTCATTCTTAACCTCTTTACGCATATGTTATTCACTGGGCTTTAGCTTACTGTCTATATATATATATATATATGTAGGTGTCCAGGCACCGGATCGGAGCTAAGAGCGTTGGGTTTAACTCCCTTTTTGTCAAGCCAACCACTGTACCTCACTGAGAGGTTCCTAGTCCTTTAAGCTAGGGCCTTTTTTTGGGGGTGTTTTAGATTCACCCTCCTGTCTCTATTTTGTAATACTGTATAAACTGACTGTACCTGTACTGTACTGTTCTAATAGGGATTAGGTCCCTGCCTTGAATGATTGTATAAGTATGTATATACTGTTTTTGTTTCTGAATGTGAATATGTATGAAAAGTCTTTTTGCATACAGACTATCGTAGCTCATTGGACATCTTTTATTACTGTTTTGGCTTCCGCTAGCCCCTGTACTCTGTATTACTGTCTTTACTGTCAAGCAGGCCTTCGGTAATCACAGATTACTAGCCGGTTACGGTGCTAAACCTATAGGGGCAAAACATATATTATTCGATTGAGTCGTATTACCATGTTACTGAGTTCAGAGCAACGTACTCCGAGTCTATCCACCCTATTCCGATGGTTGAGAAACCCAATGTCACGCCTAATGAATATATTATAGCACCGCTTGCTGCCAAGCCACCGCCGAGAAGGCCAAAACGGAAGAGGATTCCATTTAGGAGTGAGGTAGTCCAACGTATTTGGTGTAGCCGAAGTGGGAAGATGGGTAATCATAACAAGAAGGCATGCAAGGAACTGATTTAGCCATAGCGCAAGCTCAACATATTCGTTATTTAATTATGTCGTATTTTTTGTAACCATATTTCGTATTGTCCGATATAGGTACATGGAATTTTATAATTTTGAGATTATGTAGACCTTATTGGAATTGCATTATAAGACATCAATTTCCATTAAAATACCATCCCGCTATGTTAACATTTGCTCATTATAGCGATCCCGGATTTTAACCCAGTTTTTATGGTGTTTTGAACTCGGGTCTTATGGTTAATGCTATTATTTATGTCTTTTCTCTCTTCCACTCTTTGAATTTGAATTTTAGAATGTCTTGAGCGTGTTTAGAACAGGTTGGTTGCTAATTGGTCCAGAACCTTATTGCCCAGAATTTTAGTAGTTCACTCGAGCGGGTCTTCTTACGCTCGAGCGGGGTTTGTAATCTTTTAGTACTTTGTACGTCTGCAAAAATGCTGCAGAAGTGTTTTTCACGCTCGAGCGAAGTTTCTTACGCTCGAGCGGGTCTAAGCTCGAGCGGCCCCTTTGACGCTCGAGCGACTGTCTGAAGTCTGTAAAATATTGGACGAGTGTATTCTACACTCGAGCGGATCTCATTGTACTCGAGCGGGTAGTGCCTTGTTGTTGTGTCTTGGCGTTCGAAATGGTCGAATTTATGTGTTTGACGCTCGAGCGTCAAGTTCTCCGCTTGAGCAGACTGTGCGTATATCAGATTACGAAAATGACTTTTTAAATCATTTTTTCTG